GTGTGTGTATGTGTATGTGTGTGTATGTGTATGTGTGTGTATGTGTATGTGTGTGTATGTGTATGTATGTGTGTATGTGTATGTGTGTGTGTATGTGTGTGTATGTGTGTGTGTATGTGTATGTATGTGTATGTGTGTGTGTGTATGTCTTAATCCTTCGTTATGATGATTTCATCTTCCATCCCCCCAGGACTAGCAACAGTGGGGGATAAACTTTGGATTCAACATAATGCTGATCCCCTCAAAAGTAGTCACATACTGTGCTAAGTCTCATCGACTCTTACTCAACCCAACCGCACACATCCATCCGCAATTTGGCACGGTCACGTGAGGGAGGCGCGCTCGCGATTGGTGCCCACCTTCGCAAACAAATGGATATAGCTAAACCCAAAAGATTATTTTATTTCAGCTCCTGTAAACTCGACTTTCAAGTTCTAGAAAAAAAATGTATTTTTCACGTCAACAATTGTGTTTAATAACAAGACCTATTACATTCTTATGTCAAATACAGGTCTTCAAATCTTTATAACACAGCAATGTCTTGAACTACGTTCTGTTGAGTTAACTGTTAATTTAATTAAGTGGTCGTGTGTTACGCCGAAATTCCATAGGGCCATGAATTTAGTGTCTTTCATTTTTTATATACAAAAAATCCATTTGGCAACGATACTCTAACAACGTACAATTTCCAGGGCCTTAGCAGAATTAAAATATAGATTTCTCGTGTAATAGTGGTTTAGATGAACATCACATATCGAGTCGCCAATGAAATGTTTTGCACATTTGCGAATATTAAAATTATTGAAGATTTTTCTAATAATTTCTTTATCTAAAGGGTCAGGAGAAAGAATTTTCTGTTTTTGAGTAACTAAAATATTTAAAAGAAATAATGTATTTTGTATTCTGAAAAGAAATTATAAACCGAATTATCACTGCCATAATTTGCAATGACTAGACAATTTATGGGATAAAAATGTATGTTGGAAATCGTATTTGAAGTGTAAAAATGACTAGTGCTTCACCGGATTTAAATCAATTTGTCCGAAGTACCTCACACAAATAATAGTTTCTTTAGCTTTTTAAATCAGTTTAATTTTTTAACAACAATACGCCTATAAATATTGGTGTTAATCATTCCTACAATTTTGTGTACAAGATAAAGATGTTTCGAGAATTTTTTCGTGCTTCTATAGACGATTTTTACCTTTATAATCAACAAGAAAGGAACATAACACAATTTTTTCTTCGTTTTTAAAGAATATCATGTTACAATATGAATGTATAAGATTACAACTTTTCATCGACGTACTTTGACTCCATAGACAAGTTTAAGTAGTGGCGGTAAGACACTGGAAAATTAGTAGTTTCTCGTATTTACCTTTTACAAACAAAATATTAATTTTATGGATTAATCTATCCTTGGGCAAGAACTGGGAAATTTTTCCAAATGTTCTGACCAGCGATCAGCAATTTTTCATATATCAACGCGTAGTCTGACAAGGGTAAACAAATCAAAGAATCCACGTTTACGACATTTAGTTCGAAATCGATTATGGATGTAGTGAAACAAATAAATGTGCATTTACATATCTGGCAAAAGAATGGTTTGTCTTATATTGAAAAACCGCCTAATTTTTTCGGTGATAATTAGCAACACGAAGTACAAATTTAAAAAATCTCAAAATGGAAACTTTTAGTTGTATTTTAAATCAAAGGAAGTTACACTAAACATTACTAAATGTTTTTAAGAGTATTTATTTCAAGTGGCACGGACAACGAGTAATCAAACTCGCTACAGAAGTATCCCGGCTCATCGCTCGCCTCTGTGACCGAACCGAAATTAATTGTCAAAGGCTCTCGTTAATAATATGCACTTGGCTCAAAAAATAGATTTTTCAATTGAGTGAAAACTACAAATATAAATATTTTCAAATGATTGTCTTGCAATTATTATAAATCTCCTCAAACGTGGAAAGTAGCATGTATTATGGCCCAAAATTATTAATTACAAACATCGATTATCTTTGGTTTCTAATGAATTAAATTCCAGTACTCCGCGACAGGCTGGGCAAAGTTTGCACTCAGTCCCCCCTTCTAATCGCGAGAAACACCGTACTGTGATGTACAAACTACGAGGAAAGTAGAGGATTTAGGTTCTTAACTTCTGGTTTGTTTCGGCACCTCGAACTTTGCACATCAATACTGTGACCCTTACAATCGCTGGAGAAAGAACGACACGGCAGACCATTCCCTTGTCAGTAGTGCACAGTTTTACGATGTACATGCCTCTTAAAAACTAAGTAAGGGCAACGACTTCTATTTCACCTATAAATCATCCCATTCGAAGTGTCGGAACCAATATTTTTAGAAATTGACGACCTGTTAATCTAACCTTCGGAGGACAGATAGGAAACAGGGAAATGTGTCGCTGATATTAACCGTGAATATTCGAGCTGTAAAATTATCTTGTATCTTGTAAGATAACAATTTTTTTTAAAAAAATGTAACGATCAATTCAACGATCTGAACTACACAAACATTCTAAATCTAGAAATTGTGTTGTCGAAAACTAATTTTTAAGATGCGAGTGAAGATGCTGTGTTTGTACCTTTACAATACACGTGTAGACAAGGCATGTTGAGAGTTGAAATAAATGACAGAATTGAGACCAAGACAGGGTCCCTGAATGCCATTAACACTTGAATACGAAATTTACAGAGAAGTATTACACAAAGTTACGCACATACGGAACTGTAATTTTGGAGGTGAATGTTTTATGTTGAGAAAGGCCGAAAATCGAAGTCTTGCTAATACTGGATGCCTTGTGTACTGATTTTCTTTAATAATAATACAACCATATCTTTTCACTATACTCAATATGACTATTTTTGCGAAGTGCCACTTTATTGTGCACACGGTAAGGCCTTAGTTCACAACGAAACTAGTTGGCCCATTAACTCCGAAACTCTTGTAAATTCTCGTGAACAAATGAAGGACCTCATGCACGCAATTTCAGTGGGGCTACAATAAAGAAATATAAGCTTTTCATACATCTTATGTAAAATTCGTCTGACGTGACGAAACGTACCTGCGGAGCCTCCAGTCGTCCGCGGCCGATGGAAATCAAACCGCCTCTGCCCCACCACCTCGCCCAACAGCCGTCGATTGCGACGCGCCAGCGCCATCTAGAGGAGAAATCACAAACTAGAATTAGACTGATCGTGAAAAATAACGACTGGCGGCATAAGCAAAAAACAAAATTTTATTCAGATAATTAGGAAATGCACGTTATTTCATTTGCGTTAATTTGTCAATGGACAGTACAAACGTATGTAAATAACGGGGAAGAATAATAATCAGAACTCAGAATCCCTCCCATTTTTTTAAAACTTATACGTAGTTGAATGATAAATAAAAGTACCGTCAAAGCAGGTTTAGTATCATTTAAAAAGAGACGTTAAAGTCGCGTGTTCACAAAATTGTTTGCACTGTTAAATTACAGAAATGAGTGATAAGTATTTATTTGTAAGAAAATAGTAGCCCATACACCGGCTCTACTTCCAACACAACTAGAAACAGGAGAACTAAAGTTCACATAGTCATGCTACATTTATTAGATAATTATTTTTTATTTAGTATTAGATAACGTATTATTGCATTATTAGATAATTAGTTTAATTTGGTTAAACTCCCTGTGTACGTGTTCCCTCAATTGGTTTTTTGAATATTTCGACGAATTGTCCGAACGAGCATTAAAATGTGTTCATATCTTCTTATTAAAGATATCAGTAATTCTCTTCCCCTTGGTAATAAATGGGACGCCCTCTTCGCATTCTCTTCAACCTCTGTGGAATCCATAACCGAACAAGAAAACTACCAGACGCAATTGGACACCACACAACGTCGGAAAGAAATGAAATCAAAGCAACTTCGTTCCTACAGCTGATCGCAATATCCACAATGCATTGTAAAATGGTTGCCAACCGCGGATTTTCACAACTGCTCGGGAATCATGGGATCTGGATCAACTTCACGGTCTCAAAGTGTTTTTTGAAAGTCCGGAGGGCTTCATGTAAAGTACCACCAAATTTTAATTATTTTGTTTCAAAATCTCAAAAATTCGACTTGGGTATCTTCAATTTGGAGAAAAACCTACGCATTGTTTCGGCGTTAGTTGCGTTCACAGACGGACGGACAGACAAGCGGACGTTTTGAAAAAAAAACACTTTTTCGGTGTCAAGGGACCCCAAAACGTATTTCCGTTGAATTATCGAAAAACATTCCCTGTACTCCGCCTATAAGGTTTGAATGTTGTTTTAAAATTAAAAGCCATTGACTGTCTTTGCACAGAATACATTTGCTATTCTTTCCGCAAAATGATATTGATATATTCGACAGACTACTGTTACACTTGTAGGGCGGGGTCTTCCCCATCCAGGTATCTCCCACCAACGTGGCACCGCCCCTACCGGGTCACGCTCTAAGCTCCCGACTGGTTTCCCGAGAAGAGTGGGAGCTGCTCCGGTTGTCGGCACGACCGAATGCATACCTCTCAGGCAGAAACAGGTGAGTGAATACTTTCACTGCACAAAGGAAAAAACGCTATTAAAGAAATGATAATTATCAGTCGATTCACTTCAAATAATTCGTGAATTTGCGCATCAATGAAAGGAATAAATGTGGTGGATGCTCAAACCTGCAATCGACGCAGAGGCCGCCACTGCTGCCAGCTGTATCCAGCATCCTTTCAGTGACCTAACAGACTCTCATGGACCGTCCTCACATCGCCCGAGGTCCCTCCTGCGCGGGGAGCATCATGGCGTTGGAGGTGGTGCGCCCTTAGACGACGCCTCTGACGTCACAGCTGAGGTGGAACATGAGACACGCCGAGCCGTCTGCTGGCTTTGTAGATGCACCTCTTCGCTTGGCATGAAGGCCGCGCGGGAATGCCCTTGAGACGTCTTTAACATTGCGGCGGTGGAGTAGTGGCACTTTGCGACTGCGGAGGTGACGCGCTCTTAGGTGAAACTTGATACGTCACAGTCGGGCGGAATATGAGACACGCCGAGCCTTTTGCTGGGTTTGTAGATGCATCTCTTCGCTTGGCATGAACGCATGAACGAGACATTTCCTTGAGACGTCTTTGACCTGGCGGCGGTGGAGTTCTTGAGACTGCGGAGGTGGCGCGCTCTTTGACGAAGCCGCTGACGTCACAGCTCGGGCGGAATATGAGACACGTCGAGTCTCCTGCTGGCTTTGTAGATGCACCTCTTCGCTTGGCATGGAGGCCGCGTTGACATTTCTTTCAGATGTTATTGACCTGACGGCGGTGGAGAAGTGGCATCTTGCGACTGCGGAGGTGGCGCGCTCTTAGGTGAAACCTGAAACGTCACAGTCGGGCGGAATATGAGTGAGACACGTCGAGTTTCTTGCTGGCTTCGTAGATGCACCTCTTCGCTTGGCATGAACGCCGCGCGAGACATTTCCTTCAGACGTCTTTGACCTGGCGGCGGTAGAGTTCTTGAGACAGCGGAGGTGGCGCGCTCTTTGACGAAGCCACTGACGTCACAGCTTGGGCGGAACATGAGACACGCTGAGTCTCTTGCTAGCGTTGTAGACCTCTTCGCTTGGCATGGAGGCCGTGCGGGAGATGACCTTCAGACGTCTTTGACCTGGCGGCAGTGGAGAAGTGGTATCTTGAGACTGCAGAGGTGGCGCGCTCTTTGACGAAGCCGCTGACGTCACAGCTCGGGCGGAACATGACACACGCCGACCCTCCTGCTGGCTTTGTAGATGCACCTCTTCGGTGGGCATGGAGGCCGCGCGGAAATGTCCTTGAGACGTCTTTAACATTGCGGCGGTGGAGAAGTGGCATTTTGCGAGTGCGAAGGTGGCGCGCTCTTTGACGAAGCCGCTGACGTCATAGCTCGGGCGGAACATGAGACACGCTGAGTCTCTTGCTAGCATTGTAGACCTCTTCGCTTGGCATGGAGGCCGTGCGGGAGATGAACTTCAGACGTCTTTGACCTGGCGGCGGGGGAGAAGTGACATCTTGCGACTGCGAAGGTGGCGCGCTCTTTGACGAAGCCTCTGACGACACAGACCAGGAGGAACATGAGACACGCCGAGCCTCCTGCTGGCTTTGTAGATGCACCTCTTCGCTTGGCATGGAGGCCGCGCGGGAGATGACCTTGAGACGTCTTTGACCTGGTGCCGTTGGTAGTGGCGTGTTGCGACTGCGAAGCCGGCGAGCAAGGAGGAGAAACCCTGCGTCCGAGAGCGCCGGTGGCTGCGAGGTCGCAAGGTCAACTGCTGTCACGTGACGGACACTTCCTTTAAGCGCTCAGTAGGGGTTTCTACAGTAACCGTCAGCAATCTGTCAATTCCACGATCTTCGAATTGCCCATGGCAGAGGTTGAGATTTCTGTCGATTGCTGTACGTCAATTGCAAGTCGGTAATATTAGGGAGCTGGCGGCAACTCTCGGGATTGAGTTCGTAGGTCGACAGCTAAACGGGTAGTTTTCGTAGATTCCCAGAACACTTCCAAGAGTATGCCAAAGCAGCACCCTACACAATGGGTCATGGTCCGCGCGTTATATTCACATTGCTTCCTTTTCGCAGAGGGAACAGGCATTTACCCTTCAAGGGACTAATTTATGTCTCGTACATATACAATTAATACATCACCTCAGGAAAAATATCTTCACTCCGAGCCGAACCAGGGCTGCCACCTTCGCCGTTTCCACCCTCAACTTCGCCGCCCTGCGGGACGCTAGTGTCGACTGCGTGCCGTCAATCTTTTTTGGAAATAAAACACCGTTTTTATGAAGGAAAACTCGTGCGAAATCATCAGTCTCAAGCAGAAACTTTGTTCTAAAGGCACACGCTTTAGGCAACATTGCTCACTGATTGTAGATACGTTTTACAAGCTCAAGGTCATTCGTTGATGCTTTAATGGAAGCTCTATAGGCCCTGCGACTATATTTATTCTCCATAAACCAAGTATCTAAGTCTCACGAGCCCCGCGGATGTATCTAATTCCCATAGACCCTGCAGCTATATCTGTAATTCGTATATGCTGTGCGACTATAAGTAAATCCCATAGGCCGTTAGGCTATATTTATCATTGGCCCTGCGGTAATATCAAATTCCCGTAAGCCCTGCGGCTATAAGTAATTTTAATAGGCCGTACGACTATATCTAATTCCCTTAGGCATTGCAGCTATGTTTAATTTTCATAGGCGCACCTGCTATATCAAATTTCCAGAGGCCTCGCAACTATATGTAATTCCAATAGGCCTTGCAACTGTATATAACACTCCCAGCGGCTATATCTAATTTCCATAAGCCCTTCGTCTATATTTAAATTTTCACATGATCTGCTTTTATATCTAATTCACATAGGACCTTCCACTATTTCTAAATCCCATAAGCCCTGCGGCCCTATCTAATTCCAATAGGCCCTGCAGCTATATCAAATTTTCTTTGTTTCTGTGGCAATATCAAATTTCCATAGAGCCTGCGGCAATATCTAATTCGTATAGCCCCTACGGCATTATTTAATTCCAATAGGCCCTGCGGTTTTTTTTAATTTCCATAAGCCTTCCGCTAAATCTAATTCCAATTGGCTCTGCGTGGATATCTAATCCCCATGGGCCCTGCGGTTATATCTAATTCCGATAGGCCCTGCTGATATATTTAGTTCCCATAGGCCTTGCGGATATATCAAGTTCTTGTAGGCCCTCTCACTATATCTAAGGCTTTGAGGCTATACCTAATTCGGAGAGGCACTACATCTACATCTAATTCCCATACTCCCTGAGGCATAATCAAATTTCGATAGATCCTGCTACAATATACAATTCCTACCAGCCCGGCGACTATAACTTCCATAGGTCGTCCGGCTATATCTAAATCACATAGGCCTTGCGGTTATATCTAATTCAGTATTGTAGAGAAATAAAAATGCCATTGCCAAAAAGGGCATAATTGCTCATTTCTTCGAAACGATCTCAAGGAACAGTACCATTTTGCGCGGTCATCATGCCCAACGAAGGGGTGTTCTAGGGCAGCGGCAGTTGGCTTTAATGTTACAAGTTACTACTGAGTTGCGACGCCACTGAATGAACACGACACCTCCATTGCGATTATGTTCCCCGTGGAAAACTTAAAGCTTGTCAGAAC